ATTAATGAAAATAGGTTGTTTGATTATTGGGAGAGGAGCAAGATTTGTAACCAATTGCAACAGGCATCATAGTCATATCGGAGGAGTCGCGGTTTTTCGTTCTATGTTATGTTGAAAGGAGGTGGGAGGGGGTGGTTTCTTCTGTGCAATCTTCAATTAAACAGTAATTATGTCTCCATAAATAATGGCCAATTTAAATTAATATTTGCAAGATATTTTGTTGAACCATTTTAAAATAAAATTTTGCTTTTAGCCTTACGATATAAATACATCTATTTAAAAAAAAACAGTGAATCGACGCATACTCGCACACCCTCTCTCTGAGAAGGGCTCTGAATGGCTGTATTTGCTGGCGTACAATCCAATCAAATCGTTACACTCCCGTGATACAAGATAGCTATTGCTGTGAAGGAATAAGACGCAGTTCGTAATAACTTGACATTGTGAAGAGGGCCCCTACCTTAACTATTGACTTTAGTTTTACTGAACTAATTGAAACAAAAGGGATTATTCACTATTAAGATTCACTGGTATTTATCGTACCCTGGTCAAGTCATAGACGCCGGATGGAATTCAGAATGGTGCAAACAAAGTTATTATTAATATTGTCCACGAAACATATACGATGGTAAGAATATTCTTTTGAATTCCATCAATCACGTTGGATGAAATCTGCCAAAATAAAACCACATTCATGACTGATAGAGGGATCTATTTATTTCAATCCATTCCAGTCCAGACGACAGTTAATAAGGGAGATAATCAAACTGACTATAAAATACTATTATTAATCAGAATAGGTGACAATATTTAATTACGTATACATAACGTGCTCATTAGGGCTTCAAATTACTACCATTAGCGACTTTCTCTCTCTGTTTCTTTGATGGCATTAATTTAGCTTTGGTTGTCATTTCACTAAATGGTCTGGACCAATTTATATCGGAAATGACAGACAATTGACAAAACAAATTTGAGTAAAATTGTTATTAACAGTCAATATATACTGTTGATGCTTATAAATGATGTTTGGGAGTATAGGAAATTGCTAATGGACCATTGCAGAGATCAATTATTGGTCGGTTTAAAAGGCAACAAAAGCGAAATGAATCTCAAAGCTTTAACTTAAGGTACTAGAAATGAAGTTTCTCTCAGTGAAATTATGAAATATTTCATGTTATATGCAGTGGGGTACAGGTCCACCCCCCTAGAAAAGTGGTTTGCATCCCCAATTGTACCCCCACTTTATTTTCAACAAATCTAAATTTCTCCCTTTTTTCTCCAAAATATTGTGTCAGAATACACAAAATCAAATTTTGTTTTTTTTAAATTTTCTTTAGATAACCCTCTCAGACGCTCTACCAGAGGCTTGCGACTATGACACCACTACAGAGTAGCCAAAATTTGAATTCAGATTCAGCAGTTGTCCCCCATTGAGTCAGTCTGCCCCTATTTGTACCCCGGGTCTATGAAGGCTGGCGCAGCCACGGGGTATATGTTGTAACAAGATACTGGTTGATAATGGTGAGTGGTGGAGTTGATCTAGTATGGACACACGACAGGAAGTCTGTTTCTTACTATGTACATATAAGTGCATGTTTTGAAAAACGCAAAAATCCAATCAGTGACTTGTATATTATATATATTACAGCGTATTCATTTTCAGTTTTATATATACTATTTTTATATTACAAATGTCATGACATTATTTTATTTTAATTGTAATAAATAACCTTCTCAAAGGGATATTAATTTTCACCTAATCATATCTTTTCAATGCTTCTAATTATATCATTATCATTTTTTTCTTACTTTTATAATACTAATTCATTATGTTATTTTTCATATATCTGTGTTTTATTTTATATAGTTTATTACAAACCATTGTACAGTTTGTATATTCTATGCTGCCCACAAAGGGCGTATATATACATTAAAATCTTATCTTTTCTTAGTCATAGACTGAGTTATCAGATTGCTGGAAGCAATCCACTTGTCATCTTCCAACCAACCTATTATTCAAGACTACAGTTTAACCGCACGTTCTCTAAGAGCAAGGGACAGAACATATTTTGTGCAAGAGGTGGACTAATAATAATAACTCCACCTTGTTTATCTAGTGTATGCTTTTGGATCGAACAAACGCATTGAGTTTATGTTTTAATGGGTTGAGACTATTTACCAATGTGTCAAGAACCATACGTAAATTTCGCGTGGCAAATAATATATGTTCCTCAAAAACAGGGTTCAATTAGGGTGGTATCGCATCGCAATTTTCGTATTCAAATAATCCTTTTTGCGATCCAATATATTTTCAGATTAGCCACAATTAAAATTTAACACGACTATTAGCAATCAAATCAAATTGTATAATTTCCAGGTGAATTTTAGGCTACGCCCGGCGGTCTCTATAAACCTTTTGATCCCTTTTATCATTCCTTTCAATATTATTATATTTTTATATTATGTTGGACGTCAATAATTGGTGAGAGTCTACCACCAGAACGATTTGAATTGCTACCGAATTTTAGGAAATGGGAATCAATTTTTTTAATTTAATTAGTAACGTGTTATATACTTCACGGGAAGGAATTTTCGGCAATTTTATTTGACCACTGTGGCTACTTATGGAATTGTTTTAAAGTCAGTTTTAACCGTAAATTATTAACAGTATCGAATCTTACAGAGAGAAGGAAGACGGTCACCCATAAAAAGTCATCGGAGTACTATTACACGGAGGTTATAATGAGTCATTCGCTATCTTCCGCTTAGTTGACTTGAAGAACTGTGGAACGTTTATTCTAGACATAGCCTGATGCATTGTATCTTATTTTACATTACGATTACTTTATCATTATCATAAACGTCATTGGTAACTTTTTGAATTGATTCCGAAATACGAATCAAAATTTAAATTGAGTAGTCAAAACTGGGCTGAATTCGCGAATCTCTCAATCTAAATAACCCGAAGTTGCAGACAGATATTCATGCCGATAAACAAACAAATATCGTTTCATTTTTGACAAATTTATGGCAATTATTTGGAGCACATGAGCATTCAAGTCGAAATTAAGTCGGTAATATTAGATAGAGTACCTTTATAGAGGTTTATTAAAGAAGAGCGATAGTGATACATCACGTAAATTATCATGGCGAAGCAAAAGCTGGAAGAAGGGAGAGAACACTTTTATCTTGCCCTTACTTCTAATGATTTTGTATAGGTCTGTAGGTAGATTTTAACATAGTTTATAATGAAATAATTCAAGACTGAATCCCATATTAAAAACACTATATTACATGCTATCTTTAGAAAAACAATTTGCACAACCCTCCTTTTTTCCAAATTTCAGGTTCTGGTCGTGCAAACTCTGCCTGTTACAGCACTGTTAGTCTCAGACGTTTTCCCCAAACCAAAATTTAAGCCATTTTCATATGAAAATCAGGGTGAAACTTCAAAGTCCATTTGCTCGAAAGTTTTCAAAAAATGCGAATTTCTTTTTTCGACTGAAATAGGTTGAGGAGATGTTAATCTTTCGTTTGTAACAAAAAAATTACTGGGCGAAGTTATGGCAATTATAGTTTGGGGTTAGGGTCGGAGTTAACTGTATGCTATTTATATAGTAATATCTTCTGGTCCATAGATATACAAGGTTTGGAAATTTGACAATTGAAAAGGACACACTTCCCATCCAGAATTTTCCTGTGAAACTAAATCATATTTCGGACTCAAATTTGCCCGTCAAATCATATTTCCAAATAATTGTACCAATAAAATATATTTTTACCTAATAATCTTAAGGCAATCCAAGATTCTCAGTAATATTTTGTAGTTGATATTTCAATTCATTTGGAAATGATTACCAAAATTCAATTCATAAACAAATTCATGTGGTAAGAAAGGAATACAACTTCTGAGTTCACTAAGAGCTCAGAGAGTAAACAAACTATATCTTGATATTAATTGGATTATGTTAAAAAGAGATATTAATAAATTGACTTACTATTGACAAATCATCAGCTCATTGCATTCAACACAAATCATTTTTCTATAACGTAATTCACGTGCAACATTCATCAATCAAGTACACTGTGTGGTCAAAGGGGAATAATTTCATCATTGTGATCTGATTACAAAATTGATAATCCGAGATATAAACAGTGGGGGTACTGTGTGGGGGAGGGGAAGCCAGTGGGGATGCAGGGGGGTGGGCCATTTGCCACCCTCCTAGAAAAGCGGTTTGTACCCGAACTTTATTTTCAACAAATCTAAATGTCTACCTTTTTTCTACACAATGTGTGTCAGAATACACAAAATAAACTAATTTTTTCTAAAAATGTTCTTGAGAGAACCCTTTAAGACGCTCTATGCGAGGCTTGCGACTATGACACCACCACAAAAATATGAAATCAGCCTCAGCAGTTGCCTACATTCCCCGATAACTGGTTCTCGGGCTCGCAACAAGACACGATTCCTTGGAGGGTCAATAGTGTATGGGGGCAATCCTTTATTTGGGGCCCCCTTGCCCACTTGTAACTATGGTAAGTTTTGACTATCGTCACTTCGTGGGTCTTATTATTCATGCGTGCAGCTCTTGTCTACGTCATGGAACACAGTTATTAGCACCCTGGTGGTGAGCCACTCCCTATAGCAACTTTATTCCCGCTGAATATTCATTTAATTCTAGAAATGATTTACTGATACCATATTTCGGTCTTTACTTTTCTGCAACTACCTATCAAGTAGTTTTCTAGTTTGCCACACAAAATAAATATATAGTTAATATTCACTGCTTTGGAAGCACTATTTAGGTTCTTCTATTTGTGTTTGTATGCAAAAGCCTACCCAACAGAAACAGGTGGATACCTAGTCTGAAACATATGCCTCCAGCCTCCAGATGTTTCTGTCTAGTGAATATTGAGACAGATTTGGGAATACTATTGGGTGAAACAGATGGAAACAACTTGACCATTCCGTTAGACATTTTGATAAATAAAATACTGAAATCATATTATTTATTTTTATTAGACACTCCTATTTCTGCCTCTTGTAGTTCATTTAAAAATGTTTTTGTTTTATTCATTAAAACTTTGATAGCTTCACACACTAAAACATCAGGTGGCAGTATTCCTGTTGATTCCACAGAAACTGAAATATATTAATTAAAAATTTGTAATGTAAATAAATTAGGAAATTTTAATTAAGTGGACTCAGTGAGAACTGATGTTAACTAACAACTGTGATCAAGGGTTGGTTTAGTTAACAACCAGATCAAATTTTTAATCAAAAAGGGAAAACATTAATAACTGATGGCAACTGCAGTATGTCAGGAAGCAGAGGGCTCAGGGAAGACTGAAACACTGCCTTGTATTCTATGAGTTATTGTCAGTTGCTAAGAGTGTAGTAGAAAATCACAGTGTTGTCAGAAGACCTTTAAGCTGTGATTACATGTGTGTGCAAATTGAACACCTCTGTAAGTGAAACGGATGGCCCAGTAAGCTGACAAGGTGCCCAAATTGTGAAATAGTCTTTATGACATCATTACTGTGGATCACAATACCATGCAGTTTCCCTTTTATGATGATGGCTTTGCGGAATCGATAGAGGAATCTGATTAATTGAAACTTACAGATAAAATGGTCTCTAACTCTGTTTAATTTAACTAAATCTTTTAATTCATCATGTCTATATACTTCTCTACTACACATATCTCTTCTAGCATGTACTACCTTAGCTTTCTTTTTCCCTGTTTAACACAAAGTAAAATATTATTCATTATTTAATAAAGTCAGATTAAACCATTTAATCCATATTACTAAATTATTCTGGTAGGTGGTTACAGATTACTGGGCATTACAATAATACTTGATCAAGAGTCTGAAACTGCTAATTTTTGTTATGGCTGTAAGGAACTTCGATGGCACCATTTGAAATATGCAACTACAAAGTGAAACAATCACAAGGCTCCGGCCTGCTCCATCTCAGAAACACAGAAAACAGACCTGTACTAAGAATAGCTCTATGTAAACTTAAGCATCCATGTTAAAAATTCATTTGCAGTTTCCTACTAAAACAGGTTTTGAAAACGACTAATATTGGAAAGATCAAACCGAAATCAGTATACCTTTATGTTGTTCTATTTCTATAACACCAGGTGAAAAAACTTTCTGTAATTTTTCAGCTAATTCATCTTCTATGGGTTGTTTTAATATTATTTCTGGTAGTAATCTGTAGGATGCTGTTGCTTAAATATATATTCAATATTGTCAAGGGCAATAACTCCTTACACACTTTCACTCATGAAAAGATAATTTGTTTACCAATGGACCTTAGATAGAATAAATAATCTAAGTACTAATGATTCAAACCTCAAAACGAAACCCAAAACAACATAATAAGGAATATTAGCAGCTAATGAACTTGAGGAAGTATATGAATAATAAGTGAGAAAGTATTTCATATTGAAAAGTGGTATCAGGTGTCTAGAAGAGAAAGCATACCCTTCCTGGCGCCTTACCTGTCATTGTTGCTCAACATACAGAACAAACAATTAGGATGGCAAAAACAAAATCAAAGATTTTTAAATTTTCATGAATATTCCATATGTGTGATTTGCTAGTGTAGATATCAAAACTTACTTACCAACTGGAGAAAACTTAGCATGGTCTTTTCCAATACCTTTTACACAATGCATTACAATGTCCATTTCTTGACCGGGCCTTAATTTAGCTATTAATATATCATCATGAACTGGTTTAATATCACCTTCTTTAAACTGAAATTATATTTTCATCATGTGTTTAATTTGAGACCCAAATGGACTAGCATAAAATAGGCATATGTTGCTTGGTAGGTCTACAAAATTATCTATCTGTTCTTCAAAGAAAAAGTTGCAATTCTTTTGGGTGATCAATGAGACTTGCAGCCATTAAATGATTTGGATTTCACCAAATGGCTAAACCAAGCCTTTTTTGTATATATCTGTCAAAAATAGTCATCAGGTAAGTGTAAAAATGTTTCTGGTATAAAAGACCATAAAGGTTGACAAAATAATTACTGGTGCCTTATATCTGATTTTCACAGAACTGAGATATTTTATGGTTATCAAAAAGCTGATATTCTAACTTACTATTTCAGATTGGTTTCCTACAGGTACCCATTTTAAATATTTGGTAGTTACTAAAAGAGAAACATCCAATTTAGAGTTTTTATCAAGACAAAGCAATTATTATATCCACTTACTGTTTTTGTTATAAAAGTGAACACAATCACAAAATATTTTCAATGTTTAAATAGTGCTCAATACATCAATTGTGTGATATTTGCATATCAGGTATACTAAGTTGTTTATATTTGTCAAAAGTTGTGTCTTTGAGTGCTTACAATTCAATATTTACCTTTATGATCTTTATACATTTCATCAGGATCTGTAGCATCTTTCACTTCTTTATTTCTACTGCATTTTACTTTTAGATGAAACTCTATTGTATCTTCTGCTGTTCCTTCTGTATCACCTTATAATGTTAAATATAAACATCTTATTAATTAAAATAACACACAAAACCACAAAATTAAACAACATGATCAGTAATTTGACCATTTTTAGACTGATATCCATTATCCAATATTCCTGTGCATTTGTCTTTCTGTCCCCAGGTTTTACAAAACATAAGTGTGACCTGATAAGAAATTCTATTTACGTAATCTTTCAATAATACTTCAATGGCTGCATTCTAAACCCTTAATGGCTGCAATCTATCCCAGTTGTAGAGTCTGTGCATACACAGACAATTATGGTTGAGGAGAATCCCATGTTATAGGGATTGTAAAGAGGTTTTCTAAAAGTTTTATCACATATTAAGTCCATTTGTGATTAGTGACATCATCAAACACTTAATTTTAGTGGAATTGCAGGAACCACAGATGTCTGAATGAAAATTGAAATGGTGCACATTGATGCTATCAGTGTCCAAATACAAATAAAACATTTAGTAAACCTCTTTACAATCATTTTTAACTGCCTTATATCACAAATGGCATTAAGGTTCAGAAGATATGTAAGATAAATGATAATTGTATAGAACAATTACATACCTTCAGCTCTGTATTCAAAGAGTCTAGGATCAGCTCTAATAGGTATTAATCCTAATCTGTGTGCTAATACTTCATCTTGTATTATAGATGTATTATTATACATAAATACCTTTTCTATAGCCATAGTTGGTACCTTAGAAAAATATAAAATTTTCATATGCAGATTTGAAGTTTTGCTACTGTACTGGATTCACTTTCAAATGCACATATTACTGATATTATGGCATCACCAGCACATGTGAAAGTCAGTAAAAATTGGCGCATATTAACAATAGACTTAACATGTGGTAAGAGTATTTTGTGTTGATCTACAGGCTGAAAAATCAGAATTATTTGTCTGTGATCCGATTTCAGAAAAGGAAAGCTTACCTCAACCAACAAAATTCTTCTAAAAGCATTGGCTATGGCAGCATCTACTCCTATCATATCAAACTCTAGTTCATCTCCTTCTAACTTCTTAACATCTATTTTAAATTTCTATAAAAAAAAAATATTGTTAACAGTGATCAATTGATCCAAAATATTTTCCAAAATAATTGCATAAAAATGATTTTATTCTTATATTATCACAACATCAACAAATTATAAAAAAGCCTTCATACCTTTTCAAATTTCTTCAGATTCCAAGAATCATCATATCCATCATAATTTCCCGGGAAATCTGTACTATGAACCTTAATAACAAACAGTTTATATTAGTAGAATTGATTTCTCATTTTATAATAAACAGCTATTTGAATGATACCATTTACCGCCTCGAGTCCTTGTCTCCTGTCCAATCAGTAAATTTTAGTTAATTGTTTATTTTTTTGTGAATCAGAATACGTGTGACTAGATACTACTTGTCACTTACATTTTTTAAAAAAAGGTCAATGCCTTAAGTAATCCCTGCAATCAATTTCAATAAATAAGCTCCTGATGACAGTCAGATTAGACTATCTTTACTTTATTGTAGCTTATTCCTATGCACATAAGAATACTCAAAAATATTTTTGTGGCTGACAAAAGAAGATTATGTTTGGTCAAGAGAGATGTTAAGGCCTACCAATCAAGGCTGTTTATGACATCTATCAAAATGATCATAACAACGACACACACTCAGTCACTGCATAAAAAAAGTGCAAAATAAAAATTCGACATTTTGAGGTGATAGTTTCCTATCCTACAGTAGAGTAATTTAACTTGACATACATTGTCTACACCGTGTTCATGTAACGTGACCCTTGAACGAATTTCGTCTATTCTTTCCATGTCTATTGTATAATTTCTATTTTGTTTTCAAGCACTTAATTTGTTGTGATTTTTAACCAAATATCAAAACATTGCAGCATGGATAGGAAACGGAAATTAATAATACTCATGCGCAGTTGTACAGGAAGTTAATAAATGAATTCATGTGCATGCGCACAAAAGGGGAGGAGACCGGTGTTGACATAAAATTATTCTGAATTTGTCTGCAAAATGGTAATTATATTCGACAATTTAATAGTACTTCTGTGAGAATTACATTGTCCATTTTCAAAAACTTTCTATGCGTTTGGTCTAACTGCCGTATTATCACCATTCCCAAAAACATTGTTAAATGATAAATGAAATATGCACCTTTTCCATCATCCCCTCACTAGAATCTACTGACTTTCATCATTCGTCATTCATGATTCTCTTTTTCATTTAATTTTGACTCTTAAAGATAAAAATTTGATTCAACTACCGTACTGCTAGTCTTTAAATTCTAAACGGCAAGATTCGATAAGTAAGAAATTGTTGCCTTCTAAGGTACATTGCAATATAAAGTAATGTACATGCATAATTTTCTTTTCAGATTCGTTTTGTTTTGATTCAAAATAGAGCTGGGAAAACTCGTTTGGCAAAATGGTACATGCATTTTGATGATGATGAGAAACAGAAGCTCATTGAAGAAGTCCACGCTGTCGTCACTGTGCGAGATGCTAAACACACTAACTTTGTTGAGGTGAATACATTTAGCTACAAAATTAAGTACCTTGATTAAGCAAGCCTATGCTATAGTAACATCACCTTAAGTTATGGATAAGTTGTACTAATAGAGTTATATATATAGTTATATTACCATATGATGAGTTCAAAATTCTAACATTTTTTTTAAAATTTATTGACTTATTTTTCCCTAAACTCTTAATTGTTATATTCCATTTCAGTTCCGTAATTTTAAAATAGTCTACAGAAGATATGCTGGTTTATATTTCTGTATTTGTGTGGATGTCAATGACAACAATTTAGCTTATCTAGAGGCAATTCACAACTTTGTGGAAGTTTTGAATGAATTTTTCCATAATGTTTGTGAATTGGATCTAGTTTTCAACTTTTACAAGGTATTTATCAATTTGTGAATACATATCATAAAACTCTAGTTAGATATCACCTTTCAGTATAAATCTGATGTTGAGTTTGTCTTCAATTAAATGATGTCAAGTCAAAGTTTCCATTACCTTGTAAACATAATCCAGTGTAAATATTGCCCGACATCATGAAATGTGCATCCTCTCAATGACATAGATGTGGAACAATGCTTGTATGAATCCATAGGTTACATGGATGGAATCTTTTTATCCTTTGATATTTTTCCTTGTTTAGATTGGATGACTTGAATAATGAGGCCCCCTGGAAGAGTTCATAGCTACCATTTTCACTAATATCTTTTTATTTGGTTGTATTTACAGGTATATAGTGTTGTAGATGAAATGTTTTTAGCTGGTGAAATAAGAGAGACTAGCCAAACTAAAGTATTAAAACAATTATTAATGTTATCATCATTAGAGTAGTTTGTATATAAGCTATTGGAGCAGTGGTTATTGTGTTATTATGTTGGGACAATATTGAAAGCTGCAGTCAAACATCTTGTGAAAGACATGCTTTGAACATCAGTGGGATAGAGCTTAGGATTGCCCACAATCTGACAGGTCTTTAACCAACCTTTGGACTCTATTAGGCCATGATTCATCTGAACACAAAGAAGAATTTGATCTACATGGATGATGAAAGAGCACTCTTAAGATCATAGAAATAACTTTTGTGGTAATTTGTTGCCAAATAGTTTATAAAATCTGATTTAAAGAATACACAAAATTCGCTTCTGAAATTTGCCTTGCAGAATACAAAATTTCAAATGAAAAATATGTTGTGGTGGTAAAATGAATTGTACTAATTAATAGCCCGCCCCTAGATATTACTTGAGATTGTTATTGAACCCTTACATGTGTATCACTTATTTATCTTGTATTTTCACTCCTAGTACATGAACAATATTATTAGTTTCAGGTAGATAGATAAAACATTTGTATTTAATAAAAGGTCAATGGCAACTGTAGTGTAGATGGATATGTATATTGGTGAATTTGTTAGTCTGATTTTATTCATTATCAATTATCATTCCATTAGATGTCTGCAAACCTAGTTTCATTTAATCTTTATCATTTATTGCATATTATTGATATGTTTACAAAAAATGAAACTAATGATCTAAGTGAGATAACTCAGAGAACCAGGCTATGTATTCTCGAAACGATCTTCGCTAGGCCCAATCCTAGGCACTCGGGGCCTTTCTGTCCTAGATTAGGAGGTCTTAGCTTAAAACCGTTTTTGAGAGTAGGATAGGATAAGGTCCTATGTTTTAAGACAGTTTCTAGGACATCCTAGTGCTAAGATCGTTTTGAGGGGCCAGTGGTTTATTTCACCAAATTTTAACTTGATATTATCAAGAAATAAAGCAATCTAGCTGATTTCATAAACTGAATTTGAAATCAATTGCTAAACAGGTCAACAATGCCTTAATATTACTTCAAATAAAATGTTCACAAATGATATATTTGAAAATCATGTTAAATTTTGAGTTTTGATTTATCAGATAAATATATCATTAGATTACATGTCATCTTTTGGTTCCTTTTTGTTATATTATACTCATAGTCCTTAAGATATATTATGCTATATAAATGGTATTAAAACTACATACTTTATTCTTTCCCTGCCCAATTATGAGAAAGCTGTGCTAATCTACTTAAAAAAATCAGCTGTTGATGATAAACCTACTTATTATGCATTTATTGACAGAAAATTACATCAATGTTGGATGTGTTCACTTCAGGAATTTGCATTGATGAATAAAGGGAAATAACTCTTCTTAAGTTGACAATATTATCCCCCTTTGACCACAAACCTCTAATATTGTCGAGACACGAATCTTGCTTACCCTTATAAGTGAGCATATCTTAAGCCTTAAGAAAAGTTATTGGTTTTGTGTGAATTCAAATGCCCAATGAAGTAAAAGTCTTATTTCATCTTCAAAATTTATATCACTATCCTTTCAGGTGTTGGCAGTTATATTTTGCTAATAAAAAATACGGTGGGGTCAAAACTCCAAAAAATAAAGACCAACAAGTAATATTTGGTTATACATAGTTTTATTATAGGATAGTTATAAATGTACAACAAAATATAATGTCTATATATTACAAATTGGCCCCATAAAAAAAACCTCAACAAAGCAATATAGTGGTTCATTGTTTCCTGTATTATATACATATTAAAACTAGTACCTAATTACTTAAAATACATGTACAAACATCAATCTATAACCATCAACACCACTTCCTAATGTAGATTCAAAGCTTCTTTGTTCTTATGCCATTTTTTGCTACTTCGTATTGTAATTCACAAAAATATATAAGGAGACAGCTCTTTGACATAAATTCTTTGTGTTGTTTTAATGAACACCAATGTACATCTGTAAATTCATTTAAAATGAGCAAAAAGACATTATTTTTGGCAATAATTACATGCAATATAGTATTTGTAATGTAAGTTAATTCATATACTCAAGAATCACAACCATAATTTGAATAGAAATAATAATTGCAGGTATGTGGTTAGGTTTACATTATGAAAGACCTTGACATTGACATCTATATTGTACTTTCATAATCTGAAACTAAAATACATCAAAATGTCAGTTTTGGAGAACGAAGGTAACTAACTTTCCCCCCCTATTGTTAATAATTAATGCATAAGAAACTGATGTGGCAAAGTCATATACTTTGAACTACAAGTAATCTTGTATATTACATGATAATAATATATTTGATCTAAGAAAATAACAGCAGTTTCACAGACCATTCAGGTAATTATGAAACCGACAAAGTAGTTTAGTGTTTAAAAGCTGCAGCTGAATAGTTACCATTCTATGATATTTTAATCATGATTTTACTATAAATCACCTTTTTCAAAATAATTTAGTGTATTAAATACATCTGAATGAGAATTCAAAAATATAATGCACAATAGCCACAAACATAATCAAACAGATTAGAAAAGTAGATCAGGATTGCTATGCTATAGAAGACAAAATAAGGAACCTGCCCAAGAAAACAATTCTCAAACTAAAAACTCAACAAAATTATACAAAATGATACAGAAATGATAGGCTAAGAATTATAATAAAAGACTACGTACATAGAAATATTGAGCAAAGATTATAAAAAAGATCATGCAAGATACATGGAAGGTATATATATTACATTTATAAAACATATAGCACTATTTATATTTTCATGTTTTAAGACAAATTTTAATGAAATAAGAATGCAATTTTGAACTTTTGCATCATTAATGTGTCCATATCTTTTTCAAAATGTCAAATTTCTCGTTGCATATTTTATCACACAAAAAGACATAATTATTCAAATGAATGAGAAATTTAGTTTAGTTTGATTTTGACTTTAAAATAACTTGAAATTTACCATTAGGCACATTATACGTTACGAAAATCGAAATAAACATTTAAATGGCACAATAATGAAAGATGTCCAAGAATTACATTTCACCAGTATCTGTTTGTAAATGAACAGGAATTGATGATAAAACAGGAGCACCATCTGATTTTCTTGATGATTGTTTGGGGGATCTTTGACTATTGTGGCGTCTGGGGGATCCAGGAGATACTAAACGTTTTAAGGGTTTGTTTGGGGAAATACATTTTGATTTAGGGGTTTGAGCAAAGCGTAAAACATTTCTTGGTGTCAGACCACCAGCAGTTCTTAAAACAACATAATCACCAATGTCTTCATCTAATTTTGTTGTGGTGGATTCTTTACCCACAACATTTGCACAATCTTTTAAAGCTTGTCGCTGAGGAGTACAAATGTCATTAATTGTTTCCATTAAAGAAGAACTTAAGTCCACATGTTGACCTTTAAATGATGGTGTACGTCCAATGGAAGAGTTGACTGATTTAGCTGGTTCCTCAGATTCTGCTTCATATGTTGGATTAAAAACATCATCCTCAGGGGTGTCAGTTGATTCTGTCAATGCAGAAATATTTATTGACTCAGAACAAGATGCTGAAGCTGAATCAATGGAACTTATGGAGATGGAGCTGTCAGACACGATGCTATTTGTGCAAGAACTTTTAGGCTTATTCTTATCAGTATAATAGACATTAGGTCGAATTGATGGTTTAACAAACTCAAAGTCTTCAGAACCAGAACCAGTACTTGTAGCAGGGTCTGAAGATTTCAACAAATTTGTAGAAATGGGAACTTTTGCTGTTCCCTTTGGTAAAGATCCCTTTTCTTTAGCAAGCATTCCAAGCTCTCTAAATTTAGATGCTTGGACATCGTTTTTGGCAAAGATGGTAGGAATTCGAATTGGAGACATGCCTCTTTTTCTTGTGGTTGAATTTGGAAAACGATAAGGGGAAGCGAATTTTTCCTTGGTTTCTGGAGTTTCCAAGTTTTTTACATTTTCAGCAACTTTTCCACTATTATTTTTCTGTATATTGATGATACTGTTATGTTTAGGTATACTTGTATCAGCTCTTTTAATAATATTACTATCAGATTCAATCTCTATTGATTCAGTTTCCATCTGTTCTTCAGAAGCAATTTCAGTGTCAGTGACATGTATAGTTGGAAGGTCCATCACTGTATCTTCCTCTTCACACTTCATGTCCACCAGACTGCCCATATTGATAGAGGCCCTACTGCTGTCTCTGGAAAAAGATTTCTGTGGTGATTTAACAGGAACTTGAAAATCTTCGGCACATTTGGAGCCCTTTTTATCAGAAAGGAACCCAGCACGAGCTAAAAGTTTATGGGTTTCTTTACTAATTTGTAAGTTTGGTTTTATATTTGGAGGTGGGCGGTTAAAACTGTTACTGGTACAGAACATACTCTGTGAACGTACAACTTGACATTTGGGTACATCAGACTGGTTTAAGTCATAGGATGATAAAGATTTCTTGGGATTTCCAACATTTTCAGATTTTGATGTTTCACTTTCATCAAGATCTAACCTTGTGGAATCCATCAACATACTTTCTTCTATAAAAGCAGTATCTAAAGAGGATTTTGGATTAGTGTTCATGTTCAGCATGGTGTCATCTAAAAGGGATCCTTTACCACTATCTGTTGACATACTTCTTTCAATCTGTGGTTGGGAACTAGCCAATGATGCTTCTGATACCGAACTCATCAAACTATCTGTACTATTACTGGATTGGATCTGTTTTTCTTTGGAGGACTTATGAGAAACTATCACTGGCTTCCCACCTTTTGGCACAAAGACAACTGTGTTGCCAGAGATCGTTGAAAATCCAGTTTCTGATTCATCTGAATCATAAGCTTTATCTTGCTTGTCAGAAAATCTGGAAGGGGGTGGAAAAATCTTTTGAGAATGTGTTGAAGCCTGTGATACTGATGATCCAATTGAAGTTCCAGACAAACTTTTGATGGAAGCATTATCAGCATTTCTCCTCTGCTGTGCTTCTACAGCTTCTTGACAGGTAAGAGTAGTTTCAGACATTGTTGGAACCACCATTGGTATGGGATTACTGATATCTGATTTATCAAAGCTTCTTCGAAGTTTCTTTAAATCACAAGGTTTGCCTTTGAGTAAACCATTAGTTATGGTATTAGGGGCTCCACGTTTCAGATTAGCATAGTCTGCAGAATGTGAACGTCGAGCAGGTTTCTTGGGAGATCTGTCAGCAGTAGGGTCTGAAGATGAAGTGTGGGCATTTCTTTGTAAGGATCGTCCTCTTTCTTGTGTTTGGTCAAAATCCGGAACATCTGCCTCTGAGATGAAGCCTTCGTTGAGGGAATTAGTTTGTGATAAAACAGAGATATCTGGTAAAGATGGTGATGAAGGTAATTTAGATGATAATGGTGAATCAGACTGACTTTTATATATACCAGAGCTCGGAGAAGAGTCTGGTGGGCTTGCCAGTCGTTCACCAATACTACTGGTGGATGATATACTTTCAGCATCCTGAAAATACACATTGTTATAGATTCAGGACCAAAAATTTTAATAACATTACAACCATAAAAATACAAATGGCTAAGAGGTCATCCCATGCCAACAGGTGATTCAGATATATAATCTCTAGGAAGGTTGATGTAGAAAGGAAATATTTGGTGTATCAGGAAAGTAAGTGAAGTACTAGTAAGTGAACAGGAACAAAAAGTAATCAAATGTATTTTATTGCTTTGATAAGGTGCTTCCCTGCAATTGAATAATCAAGAACCATAAAGAGTTCATATAAACTCCAAAAAAACAAAACCGGACTTGTAAGACAAACCCTACCTTATCACTCTTACTACCACTCAATCTTCTAAATATGTTCTTTCCCTTTGGTTTCTTGATGGAACCATTGGATATATTATTACTGGTATTACTTGTATTAGCATGACTACTGAAAAGACAATTGTACAATTTACTATCAATATTTCTATCAATATTTTAATTACTGTGTAATTGATTATAACTGAATATATAGTACTAACAAGAAAGCTCTTAAAAATAACAGCGTAAAACTATTGAAAGTTAAAAGTTAATAAAAGTTTGTTTATTACACAGGAATTTTATTGCTTACTACTATATGTCCTATTAATTGGTAGACATGTGTTGAATACATATTGTTAGTGCACAAGTGCATTCATTCCAATGAACCCTTAGCAATGCTAGCTGAATGCAGTTCATCAATGGATAACCCTTGGACTACTACACTAATGTTTCTGCAATCTTACTATCGTGTAAAACTCCCAATGTAAAAGTGACAACTAAAAAAAATATTTTCATTTTTTCAAAGTTAGTCCTCTTGTAACCAAATTTTTTTTAGATTTAACATATATTTCTTTGATTATAAATTTAATTTAAATAAGGATTAGGCAAATCTAATCTGATGAAAATCTAAGTTACACAAAAACCCTGTAATCAAAAAAAGCGACAATAGAAATCAATGAACCATAACAAAGGCCTTGGGGTCACAATAATCTGATGCCCTACCCTGGGGCTGAGTATAATCTGTGGCTAGATATATGTAAATTAGAGGTGTGATAAATAATGAGAATAAGCCACCTGTTGGATATATTTTAACAGATTTTAAACCTATAATAAATACTGACAGATGTTTTTAAATGATATTTTCTTATCTCACTAAGATTAGGTTAGATAATTTTTTTTCTTATTCAAATCAATGCAATTCATGACATTAAAGTGCAAGTGTGCACCAATTCACATATAGTTTAATGTAATGAAGACTATAAAGCTGATAATTTTTCTTTATGTTCCAACGAAGTAAGTTGATAAAACAAGGACTTTAATAGATAACCAATATAAAATTCACAATATCAACAAACTGAAAATTGTGGAACACTGGGAAAAGGATTCAGTCAAAATTCCTGCCTGTGGCACACATACCCTTTAATTTTATCTTTTGATCACAATATCATCGAAAAAACACATATATATTGGAACACTGGGAAAAGGATTCGGTCACAATTCCTGCCTATGGCACACATCCCCTTTAATACCATTTTGATCAGAATATCAATAAAAACCCTTATATTTTGGAACACATGGAAAAGGATTTAGTCACAATTTCTGGCCGTGGCACACATCCCCTTTAAGTTTATCTTTTAATATATTATATAACACCTTTGAAGACATAAATTTATATCAATGACCTATATGAACGTTGACAGTTGAAGTGAACTAAGTTAAAGAGATTTTACTTTATTTATCTAATCCAGATGGTAGCTGAACCAGAAAAAAAAGGCAAATTAACGAGGTCAAGGTTACAGCAGACTATTAGTCTACAGGTCTGCAAACATAGGTCTAACTCATTTATCACAACCACCAGTGCCTACTCAGAGAAATGGCAGTATCAAATGAGCCAAAAAATGGAATAAAAGAAAGTACAAACCTCACTGTTTTTTTACTACTGCCAGGACTAAACAAGAACTTTTTACGTGGGGTTTTCATATCCTTTGTAGTTGGTGTAGGGGTAGGTGTAGCTGTAAAGTTAGGTATACAATGCTCACTAAAGTTTATACATGGACTATCAATTGTACCTAACCTCTCCATTTCTGAAAATTGTCAAATTGTCTTGTTTTTCTCAAGAGAAAATTTAAAACTAAACTACTTGCATGCTCAGGATAGACTTGGAGAATGGAAATTTGAAGAAATAAAAAGAATAAAAAAATAAGAGTAATCAAAAGATTCCTAATCAAAGAGCTTGCTCAAAAGAACAAGGCTTAATATAAAGAGACATGCCTTTAAAATGTCCTCTTTTCAACACACTGACCAATCTGACTAGACATTCAGTATTCTAAAACTTTAAAAATATACCTTAATGCAATCTTCATAGAATGAAATGCAAATGAAGCAATCAATAATATCATACCTGAAAGATCAATCTTTCTAGCTGGTGTAAAAGGTGTATTACCTAGTGCTGTTTGTTGTGGTAAATGCTGAATAATGGCTTTTCTGCAGAAAAAGAGGTTTTAGTTAGAAATTTTAAGTTTCTATCATAGCATTCATATAAAATGTTTTTAATTATCACTTGCATATGGTTGCGAATAAGATTAACGGTCATAAGTTTCGAGCACACTTATGCAAATGAGTAGTGAATTGCATTTGGAACTCTAGACCAGTCATTATTTGCAACCATACCAATCGCTTTGGTATGCGGGCACCTTTTAAACTTACTTTTTAGTGGCTGAGAAAGGAACGAAATCACCAGAAGCTTTTCTCTTTCTCATAACAACTGGTGTAGCTGCTATACAGGGTGGTGGCTGATCTGTAGTTATATTATTCTGTGATATAGAACATTCATTAGCTGTAAGGTTAATAGAACATGTACTGCCTTGCGTGGTATTACCCTGTGTTGAACTAGTATTACCAGTACCATGTTTAGTATGTTCTTTACCATCTGTTGATCTACGTAATTTTGCTATACCATGTGCAATAGTGCTTACAAACCCTGCAAAGATACAATGGAATTAAAGTCAATTTTTGATGGCTTTGAAAGTAACTTTTTTTAAAGTAATAAATGTATCTTAAATATTACTGATGCTCTTCATTCTTGGAATTATCTAGAGCCAAAATCTGAAGTAATCTGACAATAATTGTTGGAATCTATATAAAGCTAATATCCTTTTTAAATTTTGCCAGGACAGCAGCATTAGCCTGCTCTTTTATTGTTTCCAACTGTCGTGGGATCTTTAATATGCACAGCTTTTTCCAAGACAGTCCCTCTTTCCTACATCACTGAGCCACCCTGCATGGATCAAGGTTAGGACCTACTAATAGGCTACTAAATAGAATAGATAGATCTTTACTCATTGAGCTGTTGCCCCATAAAAATTGATTACACTCAAACAAGTTTAATACCTTGAAAAGATCCACTACGTTTACGCTTCTTTTCTTTTTTCTTACAATCTTTAGAATCTTCTAGTGTATTATCATCGCTAGCATCTAAATCTTCTTCACCATAGATTTCTACCATTTTACATGTTCTTTCATACAGATCATCAGAAACTAATCCTACACAGTCAGCATTCTTTATCAACAACTCTACTACAGCTGTTTGTATTTGAATCAACTTTTCTTCAGTTGAGTTCATTTTTTCACTCTTGCTATTCACATGCATAATATTTGGTGCCAAGACCACAGCAAGGTTACCAACATCCATTTTATTGGTATCAGAATGGAGAGCAATAAATGCCAAAAGTTTCATGGTATATCGTAAAGCACTAAGATATTCAGAGGGAAGCAGTAGACATAGTAACAAGATAGCATGAGTAGCCACTGGTAGACTACCCAGTTGATAACAACGGATAAATGTATCATGGTAAACACTGGTGAATAATGGTTCAGGTAGTTCACGATAAAACTGTTTAATAAGTCCTGTAACATCGTTAACGTTAGCATCACTAAAACTCTTTCCTTCTTCTATTTGTTGCTAAAAAATAAGTTAGGAGTCAAGTTTAATAATTACTATATTCACAGCCATTCTTATTATATATAGAACTTTAGTAGGCTAATTAAGACAAGCAATTTACCAAGTGCTCAGTGTATATGAGGGAAATTTTGCTTGACAGATACAAAGGAAGGTAAGACAAAGTAGGTTTAGGATTTTTTCAACTCTAGAAGTGAAAAAAACCTTATACCTACATAATGGAGCATATTGCAGGCAATAAATTCAAAAGGAATACCTTGAGTTCTTTCTGTCTACTGATAGCTCCTGACTTTCTAAAAATACCCTCTTGAGTAATATTAGCTACAATAACTTCCTCTGCATCAACTAAAAATCTGTAAACAAAAATTTCAAGATGCAGCATAAATAAGCATCCACATATTTGGGCACATATTTGTTTAGGACACCAAAAAGTAAGCATAGATATCTTAATTGTTTTGAAAGTAAAGATTGTTACAAATGCTAGTCATGTTTGGAAATGCTGTCAGGTATGACTAGTACTGTTTAAAACTCACTGTTCTGACCTTTTGCATTAAAATAAAAACTTACTTTGGTACGTAGCCACAATCACCAACATAAACACATGGTACATGTGATAAATAATTACCAAATATATTACTAGCTGACATTAACCCATCCTGAAAAAATCAGAGAAGGAAAACTTTTATAACTCAATATAAACTTAAAACATTTTTCAATGGGCCCTTCAAATAAGCATATCAACCAGAATAGGCCTAGTAAAATAACATGGTCAGGAGAAGGTCTAGCATGTATGTGGATCTATAGTATTTCAAGTGGGTGGTGGTGTTAAGGACTTAGATTTGTAGACGTAGGTAAAGGTTTGATTGCCTCAATTTGAAAAAAAATGTGTGTCATCAATAAGCTTATGATTACAGACAGTTTCAGTCAGATTTACCATGATCATGAGTTTTTGAATTTGGTAACAGATTCAAAAAATCTATTTCTTCACAAAAACAGCTGACTGTTTCAGGACTGCCAAAAAAATTATTTTACATAGGTATTATATTCTCTCTGCCATCTTCAATCTTATAAACTAACAGTAAATCAGTGATCATGTACTAGCCTATATTGTGATCCAGGCAGGTCTTAACATCTGCCAATCTGGACCTGCAAATCTCCTGGGCTGAGCAGTTAGTAGACTAAAATTTGGATAGGCCTAGAAAAATTTTATGCAATAATGTTAGGCTAGATCTAGATAATCAGTGCACTATCTAGAGCTGAGACAACTACCAAAATTTGAAATGAGATTTAAACTCGTGGCCTTGAACCTAATATGACCACAGTATCATTATTAAATGATTGTTTTGAGGTCAACTTACTTGATTTGGTCCACGCGATGTATTCAACTTTTTTGTCTTCTTGCTCTTCGGTAACTTGATGCCCTTTTCTCTCAAATCTTGTTCCGCAAGTTGCCTGAGTCTATGAACATGGTCTATAGTAAATATATTTCGATATCCTTCCATTTTAAGAACATAGCATTAAAATTTATAACAAAAACATGAACGTCTCACTGCATTATCAAATCCTCCATCTTGTTGTCTTCAAAACTCGCTCTCTTTGTTCTGATTGGTCTAAAATGTGTGTCAATCAATATAAGGAAGGGAGATAATCAAATGGTAAAATTGTGAGAAAATTGTAATAAATTGTTGTAAATTACGTTTGTACTACAAGGTAAAACATTGTATTTTTCTTTGCTTTTACTCTGTCGTATAATTATTTAATATAATTTATTGCACGTGCTGTAATAAACAGGTGCTTTGAGAGTGAAAAACTGAGGTTTAGAGAAATTTTACATTTTGATATTTTTATGTTTGCAGAGAAATTTTTGTAGACTATCAATAATACAAGTCTACTGTAAATTGTTATCTCTGTGTTTTTGATTTGATTATTGTTAGATTTTCAAATAACAATTATCTGCTAGTATTAAATATGGTTATTTGGGCACAGCCTTCTGCCGGGAGTTGATTACTTCTTTATTATAATACAGCTAATATGCAATTGGAAATAGGTTCATTAATTACATAACAGTTAATGATTTTTACATTGGATATGTTAGTCTACAAAAGGCTGATCTTACATTGTAAAAAATGCTTTCCATTGGCACTTTTTTTTTAAAAAAGTTACAGTGTTGTGTTTATAAATGAGTGGATGATAATTTGATATTACAAAGTAGCTTGCATAATTATCTGAAATGATTTGTTTCTAAAATGCTGAAGATTGCTGAAGATATTGCATAGTTATAGCAAAAATCTGATTAGATAAAAAATATTATAAATGAAAAAAAATTGTCTTGTTCTGATAGCAAAGGAATTATGGTTCTCAATTTTGGTTCTTGGAAACACTTAAATATTGCTACATAAGAGATATGGTGGTCTCTTGAAGAATGGTTTAAGAATTTACTTATCATGTATCACATTCTTGTCTTTGTGTAAAGGTTGTGACCTAAACATGGAAATGGACAATTGACAATTTTTTCAGAATTCTTCGCATGTTAATTGAGATAAGCTTATCGTTTTGGGTGTGTTAAGGAAAATGCAAACAGGAATGTCTGTTGAAATCCTGGATTTTTTAATTTGATAACGGATCCTAGTATGATTTCATGCGTATAATACACTTTATTTTCAATGAAAAAAAAGTAAAAAATTCAATTCATCATCAACAATACAATAAGATTTCTGTATTATTTGACAAAACTGTACTCTTTTAAGGACAAAAAATATCAATCTGAGTGAGAATCAACTTTTTCTTACAAGTCTTTATATTTTTATTTAATATCCAGCTGTCACGTGTATTTAGGGGAATCTGCCTTTTTTCGTTTTATAAACACAGTTTGACTAATTGGTTGCAGTAGACCATCTCGTCCATCCTTTTTTTAAAACTGATGACAACAGCACTTTGATTACTATTTGTATATGTATTAAACTCAATATTACCTGTGTAACAACTAACTCTCAACCAATCATTGGTTAAAACTTATATTATCATATGCAATAAGAACATAATGATATGATTAAGAATACATGATAATTCATTACAAACACCAATTAATCAAATAGTTTGCTTAATTTGACACTAAAAAACAAGGAAACCTATTTAATAATATATGATTATATTGTGTTATAATCTTATTGGTTTTTAGGTCTTTGGACTACAAAAACGAATTTCCATTTTAACCTTAACATTGGTGAACATTGCTTTAACCCTGTGCCAGTGCCTTCTTTTGGATAGTAACTTGTTCATCTGTATCACATATTGACAAGGCATTGTGTTGAATATTTGATGAGATACACTATAAGAGTAAAGATGTCAACAAGCAAGTCTATAAAGTAGAGAGTTAAAACCTACATGGTAAAATAAACACTATAAGATAATTAGCCAGGTAGATATAACAGTGTTATGTTTAATACAATATTAAGTAGGTCCAATATATTTGATCTATGACAGTCTAGTTACTCCTCTCTACTATTGAAGAGTTTGATCTTACTATTTGATGTCACCTCTTACTGGTATGACAATAGAAATACCTGTAATCTCTGATTTACTGCTATTGTTTCATTATCTATACCTGAATGGTATATACCACTTCTGCCGTTCAGAAGATTGTTTTATGGTTTGAATCAGTCAAAAATTCTCATGAAAACACCTTCTAAGAAACACAAATCTGCATCATATTGTGCTTTTTGATAGCTAACCATAGTTAAAGGGGCATTCCACTTTTTTTTGTAAAAAATTTCATTATCAAAAAGTTGCAAATTACACCTAAATATATTTCTAAAGTATGCTAAATGAATTTGTTTTACAAGGGTTGAATTAAAAACGGAGAGTCTAATTGTTAATTAAGCAGTTTGACCTAGTTTTAGTGTTAGGCTTTATAATGGCTTGATATTATTAATAATCCTTTAGTGACATTTAGGGGTAGAGGTGGTTATTTATGATATTATTAATAGGATGCATAGGGCCATGTTTTGAATGAAGTATTTGTTCCACCCAGGCCTGTACATTTGGGAGACGTTTTGAATAATTTTGGCATTAAACAATTAACTGCTGGATACTTTTAGTTAAAACAGCACATGTCTCTAGATTTAGGTGCATAGTTTTCACAAATTTGAGCAAAAAAAATCAATCTGCAAAAAAAGCAGAATGTTCCTTTAAATTTCGATTGTGCTTATTATGCTGAAACAATGAATCTGTATCTGAAAAAGTTACGTCTACATTCTCTAACCTTAAAAGCCTAGATTTAAACCCAATTTTGATTAACATTGTTCTCTCGATCCTTTTTGTAATGCAAAATCAACGGATTGTTGTTGCCAATTACTAGACAAAAGAAAAATAATTACATAGACACCAAATTTTCATTGCATACTCAATGTGGCTGACTTATAGTACATGTAGATATAAACCTCAAACAACTTGTAGTGTGTTACATAGGCCTACAATGTAATAAAAAATCCTTAAAATAAATGTTTTCAGAGAAAAGGATTGATTGCTAAGATAAGCCATAAAGGTATGAAATAGTGCCCTGATATTGAATTCATTGAATTCCAATTATGCTTATAATGCAGAAGAAACAATGTATCAGTATCTCAAAAATTTAGCACAACGTGAAACTCTGAGTAACAACAATCTGTTTTTTAAGTTCTGTTTTAATATTTATAAGGTATAGAGTATATAGAAATAAAACTCAAACTATATTAGAGTGTGCTACATAAAATGTAATAAATCCTAAAATCCTAAAATTATAGCAATTTTCTTGGCTGAATTTCATTTTTTTAAACAAGATTTCAAAACAGTTGATGAAATTTTCTGCTCTTGGCTAAATAGTGTCACTATTATTGCAGATTGTTTTATGACCGTGGTGAGACAGTTTTCATTGTCCTAAAGTCTTAACATGATAAAGTTGATGTCAGTATTTAATTCTAGATTAAAGTCAAATTGAAATTTTGTATAAGATTGTGTGGTGTTACATTGTTTTATGATGGTTAGATTTTCTCAGATAAGGAGATCACGTCAGAGTACATCAATGTGTTGTCAAGTCTTCAAAACCTCTCAGGTAGAACAACACCTTTATTGGATTACCTATGTATATCTGGTGTAAATATATTGTTTTATTGTCCATTTTGTGTTATGGATGATTAAAATTTCTCCCTTTTTTTCTGTTTTATCCTGATGCCTGTTTGTCTGAGATCAATTTAAGCTTTGCCCTTGGGATGACACCAAAGGGAACAATTTTGGCAGTCCTACACATGTAGACTGTAATCAGATTAATTAGTTTAATGATAATGATGATGAGAACTAGTAATGTTATAAATTGTCTAAAAATTAAGAGGATGTGGTTAAGGGGTCATTCCATCCCCATCGCCAGAAATAAATTGGTGCTGGGGCTCAGATTTTTTTACTCAGAAAATTTGAAGAATTAAGGCCAAGAGAACTCATTTCTGACAATTTTGAGGTGCCAAAAACATTTTTGATTTTGTACATGAATCAATCTCTGCTGAACTGAAGGAGATTTTGCTGGGGCTTAATTCTCACTTGCTGACAATGGATACAGACTGTAGCACATAGGGCTCAGTTTAATGTCCCTTTAAAGGACATGTAAGCTTGTCAAACCTGAATTATTAGCACATCTTGACCCATACATTGAGACTAAGCCACCACAGCTCAATAAAGATAAGCATGAACAATTTTCCAGTTTAATTCTGGTACAAATAGTGACAAATTTTAGAAAATCCTGGAGTGAGAGCCAACCTAGATAAAATTGTAGTTCTACAACAAAGAAGTATAACCAATTCTTAGATTGTTATCAAAGTAACTTGGTTGCTATAATTAATACTAGTTAATTAGTAACACCTCATTAGCAGGCTCCTGGGGGTCAGGACTAATGTCAGGGGTATCTGTTATGGCAGCAGTCTAGATGAAGATAACTATATAAGATAACAATGACAGTTGAAAGAAAGATTTCATTTCTCCCTTGTAGAATATAACAAGGGGTCATTTTTCTCAAAATTTAACTACTCTTAAGATAAAGCTAGATTTTGAGAAATACAGTAATCTGATTGGCTAATTAAACTAAACCTAAAATCGAACCCAGAAAGAGATTCTGGTCTGAAACTTTAAAAGACATGAGCCTCGGTACTTAATGTATCCAATGGAGAAAAACCTCAATATTAAAGTCAGAGTTCAAAGTGGATACAATTAAAATATATCGTCATTTTCAAAATTTTCAAAATTGTATTGCAAACTGATCAAATTACTTTGGAAAATTATGGGCCTAAACCAGACAAAAATTCAAAAGATCAAAAATTTAAACATGCCAGCAACTATTTTAAACACATTTGTTGAATTTTCTTTATATTCATATAGGATTTCTGAGTCCCATCTCTAGGATATGAATTGATATCCAAAATACAAAGAAAATTGACCTCCCTGACCCGTTAAAATTGGCAGAGCATATATCTATTATAGTTTGTTTAAGGTTGAGTTAAGAGATAATTAAATGTTTATTCAGTGTAATTCTATATTTCCCTGT